TTGGAATAACTCGAAAATTCTATAGAAGGAACTTAATAAAAACATTTGCCGATACTTTGATAGCTTCACATTATATCCTGTATTCTCAATTTTCTCTCTTTACATTACGGCTATATCAATGGGAGCGTGTGAGTATTTAATTATATGTACGTGTGTGCGTCTGAGCCAGTAAGCGCGATGGCTATAAAATGTTAGGAATACGAACTGCTTTTGGCCAAACCCAGCAGACGTTAGACAACGAAAAGTTGTGTTCCAATTTCGAAAATGTGTTTTATAGCAACCCACTGATTATATGGCAGTGACCACTAGAGCATCACTTTAAATTTAACAATTTAGATAAAGAGTCAACGGGTGGTGTTGACAAAACTTTCAGAAACTTCTGAATATCTATTCGGCCTAAATATCCAACAATGAAATTTTAATAAGAATTGAAAATTCTTCCACAAAATCTAAAACTGCTGCGGGTGGTTAGAAACGGCGTACCACTAAACAAAACCTAACGAAGCAGCTAACATAAAGGACTAGCACATATTCGATGGATGCGAGCAGGTGGATGAAAATACATTCATAGATATGTGTGTGCACACAAAACATAACACTAAGGTAATTCTAAAATTGTAGGCATTATAACATAATATCGAAATGAAACTAATATTGTCTATTTAATCTGTGACAAATTTAGTAGTACAGATTTTGCTTCAAACCTCCCTAATAGGCAAATGGAGTAAATTGAATACGGAATTACATTTAATAAAGAATAATTTCAAATACAATGTGTACCCAATTTTCCTGCTGGGCCACTTTTAAAAGTATAATTTGTCATATTCAAATGGACACGAGTATTACGTTGGAATCAAATCAGCTGAGTATTGCAGTTACCTTTCATAATAGAACCATGATAGAATACATATAAAATAATTTTTTACATCATATATTTTTATTACAACGTTTGAACGTTCACATTTTGTGTGAAGCATTAAATCATTTAAATGACCTCTACCCGAACTGTTGCCAGAGTTGAGTCCTTTAATGTAATATTTCAATTTTAAAGAGAACAATAAAATCTCGATAATACGGACTGCATTTCACAACTATAATCAGGATTGTCTGTCTCTTTTTGACTTTAAATCCGTATTATGTATGAGTTGTTTTTTATATAAGAATCATAGCTTGGCACGACCCTACATTTAGGAAAGCTCATATTTTTGTAAAGAAAAACATTATTTCCTAACAAGTACTTCCTTACAGTACTATTATCTGTTTTAAATATGATAATTCTATTCGTTCTCCCAACACCACTTGTAATACCATTTCAAACAATTCATATCGCAACCCTAACAGTTATCCCACTACCAAAGTTCACGATTCAAGCTTCATTCTATACTAGATTCTGTTCCACGTATAAATTTTCGACCTCGTTATTACAATTTTCGGTATCCCAATATCACAACAATTCCCATACCAATTCAATGCCTCCATTTCCTATTCATCATCATCAACAGTGTACCAAACTGAATTATGTACAATTCGGTACTTTACGTATACTTATTGTATGATTTTCGTAAAACCGTCTCCTAACCGTACACACTAATACCTAATTTCGAGATTCTACCTCAATTCGTTCACTCAACATCAATTGTACTAAATGGTGTACCATTTAAAACTTGGTACTAATTTTGGTATAATTTAATAATAATTTTGGTAATTTGTGTACACTGTATATACACCAACCAATGACATACGCAGTGTTGTGGATTTTGCAGTGAAGACCAGCCAACTATATATATATATATATAATTAATAAATAATATACAGTGGTGGCCACAGAATTAAAACATTTACTGTGGTAAACATTTTTTGATCAGCCCTCGATTCGTTTGAAGTATTTTTGAAATTTCTTTAATTCTGAACACTTCGATATACTGCACTTAACAGATTTAGTGTGAAAATGGAAAATTATTGCATGCAATTTTTCCATAAATAACGGTTTTTATGAAAATACATCGACTTTGAAGTGGCCATATAATTAAAACATTGTGTGATTTTTTACTTTACTGCATTTTTTTGAAAATATTTTTTAAAAAGCTCTTTAATTTAGTTAAATTATGTAAACTAAGCAATGATAAAATCATTTACTGATAAAAAATTTTGAAAAAATCTGTAAAATCTATCAAAATTGCCAACAATTTGTACAGTACACCTTACATTCAGAAAATAACCCTTATTATAGAAAATAAAGGTCCAAATGCACCAGAAATTGCTAGAATTAGTAAAAAACAATAAATAATTCTCAAAATAAATAAATATTTGAAATAAAAACTCAAAAAAATGGGAATTAACCTAAAAGAACGATTCAATTTCGATAGCCTTTATTGAAGAAGGCCAGAATATTTTTGCAGTATGTGAGGAAATATCGATTGATATTGGTATTTATTATATCAAATCGATTGTTCGAGTAGTACAGAATATATTTTATCAAAAAATATACCAGTCACAACAGAAAGAACAGAGATCAACGCCTATGTTGACGAGTAAAAGTTTCTGCCACACAGCAGCATTTTTGATGCTCGACACAAGACTTTAAATTTTTGTCAAATTGTAAATTGTTTCTTTCTTTTAGGCTAAAATAGATTAAATGGGCATTATTCTACTCAAAAAATATTATTTTGGAAAAATATTGTCATGTTCAATAGATTTTAAGGGTCAAGAGTTAACCATCAAACATGCTGCTGTGTACCAGAAACGTTTTCTCGTCAACATAGGTGTTGATCTCTGTTCGTTCTGTTGTGACTGATATATTTTTCCGATGAAATATGTTCTGTACTACTCTAACAATCGATTTGATAAAATAAATGTCAATATCAATCGATATTTCCTCACATACAGCAAAAATATTCCAGCCTTCTTCAATAAACGCTATCGAAATTGAATCGTTCTTTTAGGTTAATTCCAATTTTTTGAGTTTTTATTTCCAATATTTATTTATTTTGAGAATTATTTATTGTTTTCTACTAATTCTAGTAATTTCTGGTGCATTCGGACCTTTATTTTCTATAATAAGGGTTATTTTCTGAATGTAAGGTGTACTGTACAAATTGTTGGCAATTTTGATAGATTTTACAGATTTTTTCAAAAATTTTTATCATTAAATGATTTTATCATTGCTTAGTTTACATAATTTAACTAAATTAAAGAGCTTTTTAAAAAATATTTTCAAAAAATGCAGTAAAGTAAAAAATCACACAATGTTTTAATTATATGGCCACTTCAAAGTCGATGTATTTTCATAAAAACCGTTATTTATGGAAAAATTGCATGCAATAATTTTCCATTTTCACACTAAATCTGTTAAGTGCAGTATATCGAAGTGTTCAGAATTAAAGAAATTTCAAAAATACTTCAAACGAATCGAGGGCTGATCAAAAAATGTTTACCACAGTAAATGTTTTAATTCTGTGGCCACCACTGTATATATATATATATATATATAATTAATAACATTTTTATAGCATTTTCAACTTCTCAAAATAGACGAAATAAAACGAACAAGAAACATATTTAAAATGACAAAATTAAATTTTATTATCATACGATTACTTCTGTATGTATATGGTGTGTAATTAACTATTAGCTTCCTTATAAATATTACCACAATCTCCAAATTCGCTTTATATGTAATATTCTAAAAATAAATATGTCAATGTGGATGTGAAACATTCTTACTGCGTTTTTCATTAAAAGTGTAAAAAACCAATATTTCGATCTTAACGATATCGATAATTTAATAGATATTATCTCGTTATAATAGAACACGGAAACAAAAATCATTTTCGGGTAAACATTTCAATGTAATTTCTTCTGCCCACCCCTTCCTCTGTCCTATCAGGAATCCAGCAAATATATAAATTAGCTATTCTGCCAAAAGAACATAAATACAGGCTTTATTGTGACAAACATAATTAGTGTTTATTGATTCGTTGTTTTATTGATGACCTTTGTTGTGGAGGTGGAAAACTTAGTCTAATTTTGTATTGAAAATCATATTTATACTATGTAATATAAATAATGTACTTAATAAACACAAAAATTCTTCATCATGCGTTATGATTTCGATAATGGTAAAAAATATACACAACGTAAGAACGAGTGATGCTGCTCTTTGTGTGTATTGTGGCTTAATATTCAGTAATACTTGCTTACATGCCGTTGAAGAATAGAGATTGTTATTATACCGGTTGTTGGTTATTTTCTATTTTTTATTCTGGATTATTAATTGCGAATGGGTCAGTCTTGTGTTATTTTTTTCTTTGCGATTTCCCGGTTTACAAATAATATGTTGTATTGGATAGGGAGAAGTCCGAAAACTGTTTTGTTCAGAAAAAATACAAGTGAGGTTGCAATGGGCAAATTAAAGAGACTTTTTGAAATCAGTTGCAATTTTTGACACTTTTGATCATGCTAATATTGTTCATATACTTGCTTCTGCTCCTTTCTAATTGTTCAATTAAATAAATTATGCATACATTTTACACTAAGGTTATGATACTTATTTACAACACTTTTTAATGTACATGGTATCGATTTCGATTTAGAAATAACAAGAATGTCTAGGTTTTGCAAAAAAACATAACGAGAGATGACAGGCGTGGTAACGCACACAAACATTTTTGCCTAATATAATCCAACCTTTGATGTAAGTAACATAATGTTCGAAAATCTCCTAGATGCAACTTTATGCTTACATACGTCAGATACAGATAGATTACTAATAGGATGTAAGTGCGCCTGTGTTTGTTTGTCGTATGGAACCTGTCGTGTCTAAAATATTACAGAATATATTTTCTTAAATTAAATTTATAACGAAATAAACCAATCGACACTCAGCGCACGCCTCAATGATATAACCTTCTTGTCTTGCTGCAAAACTGCAGGCAACGACGAGATCCGATCTGTTTTATGATCGAGATCCGATCGACATTCTTTGTTATATTGATGATCTTGGTTGCTTAACTTCTAGAATCGTTGCTCTCGCTGAAACTTTGCTCGCTTGACTCCCGTCTGCTACCCATCGGTTTCGGTTTGTATTCAGTTATGAAAACCGTCACGGAATTCACTGTCACCTCTCTTGTCTGGGCTGTGGAGCGATCGACATTTTTCAAACGGGCTGGGTACTTTTTATGTTTATGTTTGTCGTGACCCGAACTGTGACGTGACCCTGAGGCAGACTTGTTGCCATTCGGCATGGTTCCAGATGCACCGGGAAGTGTGGCAGCTTGTTGGGCAACGAGTGCAGAATTAAGGCGTGGTTTACGTGTCGAAGTACCTAGAAAACGGTCGAAGGCCACTAATTATAGTATTATTTATTCGATGTTTAACCAACAAAAAAGTAACAAAAAATTATAAGTCTTGCAGAATGTTTTGTGTGTGCGAGTGCGAGTTCAGAATTATATTTAACTTTGCGATATGTGGACATCTCCAAATACAACTAGACTTAGATGTATTTCTTTGACTATCAATAAACATTCCTTAATGTTTTCATTACTGAAATCCACAATTCACGAATTTTCAACGAAATAAATAACTGACATATAAACCATAAATTGAAAAAGTTCAGTTCTGAGGCCGTCAGGATAGTATTTCTGATTACAATGATAATGATATACAGACATCTCTGCAAAGACCTTAAAGACAGTTATTGTGTCTTTGTTCTCTCGAATGGCTGCTTCAAGAATGTTTTTTTTTACAAATTAGATTTAACGAATGTATTTTTACCATTAGATGAGTACAATAATACCAATAAAAACTATCTCTCAACTATTGACTGATTCACAGAGTAATTTGTTAAAAATGCACAGAGATCCGTTCGAAGTTAGCTCTATGTGGTTAAGATAATTCGTAAGCCCTTGGCCCTATGTCCAGCCTGACACCAATGTACAGACAAAATCCAGACAAGGTCACTCGATTTTACATTTTACGATTTTAAGGAGAATCATCCAGTATATATTTGAACAATTTAAATATTAAACAAAACAAACTTTATGCAGTGCAATTCACTGTTTTCGAGAGCGTTTGTGTCGAACATACAAACGCTTTTCTCGAGTGCACAATTGGCACATTGAGAAGGGTTGGGGGGATGTGCATATGTATGTATATCGATTTTGATGGGGAAGAAATGTCTTGACTATTTTGTATATCAGACACAAACGCCGAGAGGTCGATCGCATTTATTTAACATATGACTTGAACATTTCCCGCAAACACAAAACAATCATGCATTGGACGATTTTTGGAGGTCACTAACCTTTGCGTACGTCACACATACGACATTTAAATGCCTCGGCCGAGTTCCTGTACGTGCAAACACTGCAGTCCCAGAAATTTTCTTCAATGACTTTCGATTGTCGCTTTCTTCTCACCGGCGACTTCTTGTGATCCATAATAGAATTTCTTTCTAAATGCGAATCTTGTTCTGGATTTTCCAAAATCCCTTGGCCGATACAACAATTCCTGGATCTGTTTGTTGGATACTGAATGGCGCTTACGTCTCGGCTGCTTTATGCCAAACACAGCACTCTACGACCAGTTTGTCGTAGAGTGAAGTCCTCTTTAAACAGAATTTATGTATTCCGAAATATCCACAGAATATCTAGTTCCTCCAAATTCTATTACTCGACGAAAATGTGTTCATTGGCCCAATTTATTTTAACTTTTCTTTGCAGTTTTTTTTTCGTCTTTTTCTGTAACTTCGCGTGATGGTGTGAGTGATGCGTAAGAAAAATTAAAAACGCTCCATCTGCTACAAAGGGGGGAGAATACAGAATCGTCGATAAAGAAGGAACACAAAGTGGAAAATGGAAAATTTACGAATAATGTGCAATGGACACCACAGGAAGGGTATTGTTGAGAAAGACTGACATGGGGAGAATTGCCGGTAAGGGATACCGCAAGTCGGCGTTAATTGCAGCGTTATCGATAACAAATGCTATTTCGAATGACTAACTAATGCCATGTACAGACGGGCGTTCTTCTGCCCTGAATTACGAAATAATTACTTTAACATTACCGGAATTCGTTAACCCAGTGGGTTTAAATAATCAATTCCATTGTATATATGTCAAATAAATCTTCATAGAGTAGGCTAACCCGGTAAAAAGTTCTAATGTAAACGCCGTATAAGATATGTATGCGTAATTTTATATTAGGCGAGTTTACTTGCGGCAAGTCTTTGACTGTAGGAGAGAGGGGCAAGGGGAATAGAAATGGAAAAAAATTGCTCGTACCGACAATTTTCTGGCAATTCGTTTTGTGTATTTCGTATTTGTTGACATTTTATATTTATTTAAATGTGAAAAAACTATTGACATCAAATGAAAAAAGAAATATTTTTGAAATCGAATTGCCTTGTATAGACGCATGGAGCAAGTTCAAAAGGGAACGATAATAATTGCCGCAAGTAAACTCGCCTAATATAAATCAGGACTAATATTTACTCGTTTTCACAAGAAAACGATAACACTTAAGGGCTAAGCAGAATGCTCGCGGTGAGACATCCGTTGCGTTATGTGTTATCGAAAATACAACAACCACAAGGAAACGATAACACAAACGCTCGAAGTTGATGTGCGCTGCGCTTCGGAGTTAAATATATTTTAACTTTTTGCGTGCGTTAACGCGATAACAAAAAACGCTCAACGCGAACATTCAGTTTAGCCCTTTATCGTTTCCTTGCGGTTGTTGTATTTTCCATAACAGGTAACGAGAGGGCTGTCTCAAGATCTATTAATAAGGTCACCAAGATAGCAATCAAAATCGGAAAACAGCTGTTTTTTCTCAAGTCTAATGTCAAAAATTTCGACTTTGTTTACGTTTTCATAATGGAAGTCAATTCACAATAATGCATTTTGACAGCAAACTTGAGAGGTATCGATTATCAGCTGGTCTCCCTGGATGACCTTATTTATAGGCCATGGGCTGGCTCAACAATGGAATTGACAATTCAGACCCACTGGGTTAACGAAATCTGGTATAATATAAACGTACTATAATAAATACTCATAAATAGGTTAACCCGGTAAAAAAGTTGTAATGTGCATGCAGTTTTACCCAAATACGCATTTTGTATCAAAACATAACAACGTTACCTATTATCCGACGGGGCGTACAAAAATATTCAACTTACCGAAATACGTCGAATCCATATCTTCAAGAGAATAATATAAATATTAAGAGCCCCATACACTATAAATCATGCCGAGGAACCCCTTTTTGTATATGTGAGATTGACTAGTGTATGGCAAACTCTTCAATCACTATTCCAAAAAATTGATTTTTGTCCCAAAAATTGCATTTTGAGTCGTAAATTCAGTTCTTTTTTATTCCGTCACATTTTTATTATTTTTGTACACAAAATTATTTACTGACAACTTTCAAAATGAATATTATTTACCAGATTGATAGTCTTGATTTAGATTAGGCGAGTTTACTTGCGGCAATTCTTCCTCAAACTTTCCCAGCAGGCAGATTGAGTAAATTGAATACGAGAGCACATTTAATAAAGAACAATTTCAAATTGTATGCGTTCCCAATTTTCCTGTTGGGTGATTTTTAAAAACATAATTTGTCAATTTCATATTGATACTAGTATTACGTTGGAATCAAATCAGCTGGGATTTGCTGTTACCTTTCAAACGCTTTTCTCGAGTGCACAATTGGCACATTGAGAAGGGTTGGGGGGATGTGCATATGTATGTATATCGATTTTGATGGGGAAGAAATGTCTTGACTATTTTGTATATCAGACACAAACGCCGAGAGGTCGATCGCATTTATTTAACATATGACTTGAACATTTCCCGCAAACACAAAACAATCATGCATTGGACGATTTTTGGAGGTCACTAACCTTTGCGTACGTCACACATACGACATTTAAATGCCTCGGCCGAGTTCCTGTACGTGCAAACACTGCAGTCCCAGAAATTTTCTTCAATGACTTTCGATTGTCGCTTTCTTCTCACCGGCGACTTCTTGTGATCCATAATAGAATTTCTTTCTAAATGCGAATCTTGTTCTGGATTTTCCAAAATCCCTTGGCCGATACAACAATTCCTGGATCTGTTTGTTGGATACTGAATGGCGCTTACGTCTCGGCTGCTTTATGCCAAACACAGCACTCTACGACCAGTTTGTCGTAGAGTGAAGTCCTCTTTAAACAGAATTTATGTATTCCGAAATATCCACAGAATATCTAGTTCCTCCAAATTCTAGTACTGGACGAAAATGTGTTCATTGGCCCAATTTATTTTAACTTTTCTTTGCAGTTTTTTTTTCGTCTTTTTCTGTAACTTCGCGTGATGGTGTGAGTGATGCGTAAGAAAAATTAAAAACGCTCCATCTGCTACAAAGGGGGGAGAATACAGAATCGTCGATAAAGAAGGAACACAAAGTGGAAAATGGAAAATTTACGAATAAGGTGCAATGGACACCACAGGAAGGGTATTGTTGAGAAAGACTGACATGGGGAGAATTGCCGGTAAGGGATACCGCAAGTCGGCGTTAATTGCAGCGTTATCGATAACAAATGCTATTTCGAATGACTAACTAATGCCATGTACAGACGGGCGTTCTTCTGCCCTGAATTACGAAATAATTACTTTAACATTACCGGAATTCGTTAACCCAGTGGGTTTAAATAATCAATTCCATTGTATATATGTCAAATAAATCTTCATAGAGTAGGCTAACCCGGTAAAAAGTTCTAATGTAAACGCCGTATAAGATATGTATGCGTAATTTTATATTAGGCGAGTTTACTTGCGGCAAGTCTTTGACTGTAGGAGAGAGGGGCAAGGGGAATAGAAATGGAAAAAAATTGCTCGTACCGACAATTTTCTGGCAATTCGTTTTGTGTATTTCGTATTTGTTGACATTTTATATTTATTTAAATGTGAAAAAACTATTGACATCAAATGAAAAAAGAAATATTTTTGAAATCGAATTGCCTTGTATAGACGCATGGAGCAAGTTCAAAAGGGAACGATAATAATTGCCGCAAGTAAACTCGCCTAATATAAATCAGGACTAATATTTACTCGTTTTCACAAGAAAACGATAACACTTAAGGGCTAAGCAGAATGCTCGCGGTGAGACATCCGTTGCGTTATGTGTTATCGAAAATACAACAACCACAAGGAAACGATAACACAAACGCTCGAAGTTGATGTGCGCTGCGCTTCGGAGTTAAATATATTTTAACTTTTTGCGTGCGTTAACGCGATAACAAAAAACGCTCAACGCGAACATTCAGTTTAGCCCTTTATCGTTTCCTTGCGGTTGTTGTATTTTCCATAACAGGTAACGAGAGGGCTGTCTCAAGATCTATTAATAAGGTCACCAAGATAGCAATCAAAATCGGAAAACAGCTGTTTTTTCTCAAGTCTAATGTCAAAAATTTCGACTTTGTTTACGTTTTCATAATGGAAGTCAATTCACAATAATGCATTTTGACAGCAAACTTGAGAGGTATCGATTATCAGCTGGTCTCCCTGGATGACCTTATTTATAGGCCATGGGCTGGCTCAACAATGGAATTGACAATTCAGACCCACTGGGTTAACGAAATCTGGTATAATATAAACGTACTATAATAAATACTCATAAATAGGTTAACCCGGTAAAAAAGTTGTAATGTGCATGCAGTTTTACCCAAATACGCATTTTGTATCAAAACATAACAACGTTACCTATTATCCGACGGGGCGTACAAAAATATTCAACTTACCGAAATACGTCGAATCCATATCTTCAAGAGAATAATATAAATATTAAGAGCCCCATACACTATAAATCATGCCGAGGAACCCCTTTTTGTATATGTGAGATTGACTAGTGTATGGCAAACTCTTCAATCACTATTCCAAAAAATTGATTTTTGTCCCAAAAATTGCATTTTGAGTCGTAAATTCAGTTCTTTTTTATTCCGTCACATTTTTATTATTTTTGTACACAACATTATTTACTGACAACTTTCAAAATGAATATTATTTACCAGATTGATAGTCTTGATTTAGATTAGGCGAGTTTACTTGCGGCAATTCTTCCTCAAACTTTCCCAGCAGGCAGATTGAGTAAATTGAATACGAGAGCACATTTAATAAAGAACAATTTCAAATTGTATGCGTTCCCAATTTTCCTGTTGGGTGATTTTTAAAAACATAATTTGTCAATTTCATATTGATACTAGTATTACGTTGGAATCAAATCAGCTGGGATTTGCTGTTACCTTTCATAATTGTACCAGGACCAGATTGATATGGTTTCATTTTCAAAATCAAAACTATTTTGATTTTCTTCATGCATTGTGTGTGTCACTCATACATAAATAAACTTTCAAAAAATAACATATACTATGCTGTACGGCATGATGTATAGTGTATGGGGCCCTTTACAACAAATGGTCTGTTCCCGTACTGCAAGAATCTACTAGATTTTACTTTTTTCTTCGATATCATAAAGGAAAATTCGTTATCGTAGTTAAAAGTAGTAGATTCTTTCAATACGGGATCAGACCAAAAATTTTAATATTATAATAACTACTCAAATATTTTATATTCTAATTCAAAAATTCATATTTTTATTATGTTCTGCTTTTATTTTCGACAAACGAAAAACAAAAAAATACGTTCTGTTATAGTTGAATTTGTTCAACTTTGAAAATTCGTACGTCGACGTATTTCGGTAACTTTCATATAAATACATGTGTTCTACTTTTGTGGTGAAAAAACGTCGAAATTTTTCAACATTGACAATACGTATTTTGAATTTTTTTTTTGTTTTTTGAATATTATTTCAGTCATTGAAAATGTTGTTTTTCTATACATGTAAACATTTTTCGATCAAGTTTGCTGTCAAACTCCATTTTTATGAACTGACTGCCAATATGAAAACGTAAACAAAGGCCAAATTTTTGACATTAGACTTGGGAAAAAACAGCTGACTTTCGCTAGTTTGGTGACCTAGATCTTGAGAGTCGGCTTACATATCCCTCTTTATTGTAGTTGTAGCGTATGCGTATAACGTCAAACGTTTTTACGTTTAGTCAAAAGAGCAGCGCGGTTTCATCGATCTAATATTGAATAGTGTTTAGTGTCGGTTACAAATAAATATCTCATAATTTTAACTATTTCTTCAAGTTTGCGAATAAATTTGCTTCGATGGAACAGATCAAGTAAGTGGCACCTTTCTTTCCAGTGAAATAATAACATGAATATGAAGCACAGGAACACTCACATACAAACAATGTAGGTACATAATGCATTTCTTACTTTTAGTATTTTTATTATTTTACGCTTCTATTATTAACTTTAGTTACTTTTGAACACAAGAGTATAAATTGTAAGCGATAATAAAAAAATAGATTACATCTGCTATCCGGAATCCGGCGATAGTAAATTTGATTTATTGATTGTAGGAGCATTATTTTGGTCATCCATACTTTGGAGATTATGTGCGGAGTTTACCTGTTGTGGGCAGGAAGATGTAAATGCAAGATTTAGTCAGATAGAAAAGAAAGTGTGATGTAGATAGGATGCTGTGTGACACTTACTGGGCTAATAGGTGTTATAACAATAGCAGTACGTGTTGGTCGGTGCAGTAAGGCCGTGTCCTCAGTGGTTTCGTCGCCATCGCCATCAGCATCTGCGTCGACAATGGCATCGCTGTCGATTTCCCACGATGGGTGGTATTGGTCAAATTCCTCCTCGCAATTGAGGTCCTCTTCTTCGACATCTTCGTACTCATCAATGAGGATAACTGTAGACGAGGATCATAAGTGTTCGGTGTTCTGCATCTAATATAGAGCATGTGATTCTGCGCTACTTACTTGAACTTTCGGGCCGTTGTTGGCTCGGGCTAGATCCGAGTGATTGTGACTCTGTTGTGGGTATTGATATGGATACTTCATCCACCTGACACACCTTGTCGTAGGGTTGTGATATTGATCTAGAAAAAATAACGACAGAATCAGAAAGTGCGGGTTGCCGTTACACAACTGCATTCGTATACCTTAATGTTACCCGCTTCTTTGATCTATTTTCTATTTCGGCTATAAAGCCATCACTACCACGTTGTTTGTAAACAGATATCGGCCGAGCGTCGACCGACAGAGGATATGAAATGTTTTGGGAAGACTATTGTCAAAAACGATCCTTATTATTTGCACTGGCAACTGTGTTGTAAGTTCGAATTGTGCATACTATACCTTTGTGTATTCTGATTCAGTGGTCCCTTGTTGTGCCTGCGACGATGTCGGTGATGATGCCTGTTCTAGAGCCATTGCCGCTAATGCAGCCGTAGATGTTGTAGCATCAGTCATTCTCACTGACCGGTTCGGCCATTCATTGCTTGTAGTTATAGTACCACATTGACTATTTTCGATGATATTAGGGAGGTGATTATTATTGTTGGAATGTTTTGAGACCTGAGGTGTGAGGGGAAGAGTTTGAAACCTTTGACGGTCCTCCATATAAGCTTTAATTAATATATCTAATTTTTCTTCTATATCGGCGACCTGAAAGTGGACACTTTGGCTGTTAGTTACGAATTGAAAACTTTCGACTTCGCTAACGTACCTGTCGTTCGACTTTGACCACCCTTGAAGCTAAACTTATCTTCGAAGCATAAGCGTCTTTTGATTTAGAACCTTGCTTTCCCAATATTTGATCAAGCCTGCAATAAAATGGAGGAAACGATTATTCCATTGAATTTGGCTGACGAGAGCCCATTGTACATTGCGCACAATTTGTTAAAACGTTATCAACTATTACTGGAGATTCTTACCTGGCGTGAACATTTTTAACTCGGCCCAGTAGATCCACATGTCCTGCGGCATACTGTTCCATTACATCTTTGACGTCGTATGGCTTGAGAGCCTCCTTGAACTTACGACGGGCCACAAAATATTTTAGCTGTAATTGTTTCGTAGACGTTATCCGTTTGATTTGGTGTATTTTTTGCTATATACCTACCTTTCTAATAAAACGTATGGCAGTCTTGTGCTTGTTAGTCAACTGAGTGCAGCGTGGTTCGTCGTCTTCGTCTGCAGGGGTATGTCAGATCATCAAATAGAAAAATGAAATTGTTTTCGTTAGTTTTCAATGCAATCGCACACTTGACAGATATTTTTTAAACTACATTGGTATATACAAAAGCTACACTAAATACCGAATATTTGGCCACGATGATGACGCTTCTAGGGAATAGTGTAAAACAATAAAACTACAGTACATCATCATCTGGAACAAAATCTACAAATCGAATTGATCTACGGGTGAACAGCCGTGCTAGCTATTAAGTGCTGCAAGGTGATACTCGGTGTAAGATTTACGAGGAATAATATAAATGGTGCATGCGATAGACAGATTGTGGAATATGGTGTATTGGTGTTGGTGGGGAAGGAGCTACGTTCGAAACAACTTGTTTGGATGCTCATCCCCGGAATAAAGTTGAGTGTTCGTCATCTTTGCGGTTGTAGCGTGTGTGAAGGGCGGGCGGCAGAGAGCAAGAGCTGGCAAGGTATGAGGTGATAAGTACGGTGTCTGTGTTTTTTTCTGATGGATTAGTATCTTTTTAGGAAATATTTTTCAGTCGATCAATGTCATGTTGCGGAAGCGGACGAAACAAAGTCAAAAACAACGATATTTAAATGTTGGGGAAAAGGGAGGCTATTGGAATTTGGATTGGCACAACTAGGAAGTTGGAAAAAATACACTGAAAAGAGACGATAGCTTTATTAAAAATCGGTACACTGCTACATTTGAATTTACACGGAAAACAAGACAACGATCCAATCCTTCGATTTCTGTTGCCTTTTATTCAGCCAAGACTGAAGATGACAATCACAATACTCCATCCAATTTCGAATTTCATTGTTTAAGAGCAGGAGAGGGAGGACCAACAATCAGTGTGTGCAATCAGTGTTTAAGTCGGGTTGAATAAATTGATTCAGATCACTTTACAGTTCGAAAACCGGACAAAGCATTGGAATGTATACATTTCCAGTCTAGGTTCGTAACTCGACTCGAAGGATTCAGCCGGCCTTGAGGACTGTGAAGGTGACTTTAGCATTTGCACATGGACTTTCATGGTTCTACGACTAAGCACTACAAAGGGTTGTACGCACTTCCTTCACAGGTGAATCGTGTCACATTGTGACTTTGATTGTTTTGTTCGGCCATAATCTGTGACTGTATATAGGCTTTGTGTTCTTCATATAAGGCACGTTCCGTCGTTTCTCCGTTCGCGCTGCATCCAGCATTTTGGCGGCCCAGCGAGAAATTCGAACCGAACAGCTCCCCCTGCAGGAATCCACAGAGCACGATCGGTATGGAAGTTACATTGCTGAGCATCATTTTGTTCTTATTGTTGCAATCGGCCTGGCTTGCCTCCCCCCTATCACAGTTGTCGCCCACCGAGGCGCTCTCGACATCACGGCCCTCTCCTTTGAATTGGCTTAGCTGAATGCTTTCAGCAGGAGTTTTATTGTCTAAATTGCTCAGTGACACCCAACTATGTCTTCGGCGATTTTGTCCCAGCAAACGAGGGCTCAACCCTGCCAATAATATACACAAAATGTGATCGGATTTCTTAATACAGTTTCTGGCACTTGTAGATCGATAATGGGACATACTCCCAAAGGCTTAATGATATGATGACGATTGGTACCATTTATCCATCTAGAAAATCATGAGAAACCCCCCAATAACTCCATATGCACGAAAGTGCCTAATACCGAAGAATATCAACGAAAACAAGGTCTCCTTGGTCACCATATCCTCCACATATTGCATGTATATTTTTTCAACTAGGTGTTCTCGTTCGCAGTTGTTTACTTTACTTCGTTACATATAGTAGGTAGTATGTGGTATGTATGTATATATGGAAGAACTGATCGCACCGTGTCATACCACAACTGTCGTACGACTTCTTACTTTACACATTCTCGGAATACAACACTTATACAAAAACATCCAATGACAAACATCGCTTCAAATGAGACGTGCAAGACTTACCATCCGAATTCTTTTTCAACAAAGTGGTATCAGCGACAGAGTCTTCGCTAAAACTCGCATTTAACGATCGTCCATTTTGTACCACTTCTGAAAGGGCAACAATATTTTCGTTTTGTTGACAAGAAAAGATCAAAGGAAAACTTTTCGTTTAACAATTTTTATAACATTCTATCAGTAAAAACAGTAAAGGTTAATCGTTTTTGATTTACTTATTAACAAAAAAGTTCATAGTAGGTCGGTGGTAGGTTGTTTGATTGTTTGGTGGTTTGTGGCAGTTGGTATTAGTTGTAGCTAGGTAGAGTGGTTTGTAATGGACTGAACGTCCCCATTGTCCTAAGTTCATAGGTCGATTTATAAGGCAAATGGGAACATACAAAAAACATAACTCAAGAATACTGATGCTGACAATCAAATAAAAATGTCGTACTTTTTTAATGGAAACAAAATATACTCAACACTCGGTCCGCCTAGGATTACAACAATACAAGACAAAATTGTAATCGATTGGCGCTAGTGCGATATGTTTATCCCCAATTGGCTTTAACACAATTTTGTTTGCCTAAAATAAATGAATGAGGCAATGATGGGCTAATGGTTTAGTGATCAATGGGAAACAAAATAATTTATCCGCCTCTCATTCAGAACTCTCGCAGTTGGATAAAACATTTCAATGAATTCAGATATAATAGTTTTCTTCTGAAAGTTCCTGTATTCTCGGTTCATCGAAAAATAAAAAAGGAAACACGCATATTTGCATACGTAGTAAATATGTAGATGATGTACCTACATACATTTAAATTAAAATAAGAAAGAAAATTAACACAAATTTGTACGTCATGCTTTCTTTTCTCTCTAAAGTGGTTACAAATAAGTAAGAATAACATTCAACATTTACTTTTTTATATAACTTAGGTGGGTGGTAGTAATGTTTGAGTAACGCAGTCAGGATAACATATTTTGCAGTAGAAGTACATCGAACTTGCTTTACATCCGAGCACTATTGGCATTGGGTCTTAAATTGAACATTGTGTTGACATAGAAATATTCAATGCAGGTAGGTTTATATTGGATTGTGATTCTCAAGAGAGTAAAGGCATGAAACAGTAACATCCGATTATAGTAAGAGTAGTTTAAATGGATTATATATATATATGGATTATATATATATATATATATATTTATATGTGGAATGTTTATTGAAATCAACATTTACTTGTGAAAAACGGTGTGTAAGAGAAAGAGAAGGATAACATTATAAAGTATGTGATACAATATCAAAGAAAGGTTTCGATTAAAGAATATTGTCTTTGTATTTAAGGAAAATAGTAAGAGCAGGATAAGGCTAAACAACTTACTTTCGGTGTCGAACCAACGTCCCCTTCCTTCGGAGGCGCAGCTCTATCAAGTTTCAACTTTCAAAATGTTAAACAAGATTGGTCTAGACAGTGCTTAAATCGATTTACAAACAGAATAGTTGTGTTCATTGATTGCTTGAATTCATGCAGGGGCAGTCCCTATGCGCGACTTTCCTGGTTAAATCGGCTCTCTTGTATGACATCGTATTGAAATACACATCTATATTGTTGGCATCCCGAACTCAAAGTAATTGAAATAACTGAATATGTATATAGAAACACTGTATAATATTTACAAGTATAAAATATTCCCAAAGCCTTGGCCAACACACTTCAATGGACTGACTATATATATATATATATATTCGGCGCACTGGATAAATTTGTAATAAAAATCGTGACCACTGTCTCATTATTTTCCGACAGGCTCATGTCTTCATTACTTTCAACCGAACAAGATTTTCCTGCTCTCTCAAAATTGAATTTAAACACACATTCTACTTTTTGAGAGCAACATCATTGTATTCGGTTAGAAGTAATGATACGGTATTTCCGACAATAAAAGAATCGGGGGGTTACCATACGAACTTATGTTCTCCTAGAATACTAATCACAAGAATGTTATCAACGCTTTGAAGTGGGTTATACAAACCAAGACTTTGGGTATATATATATATATATATATTTGGGTGTTGTAGAAAAGTGGGAGTTATTCTTCTGTAGTACTATTCTGACATGTTGGAAAAAAATATGGTGCTCCCTACAACCCGTGTGATGTGGTGGTATATGTACAACGCAGTGTTTTGACAATTTTATCACAGACCTCAATAATCTGATGGCTTGTGTTATGTCTCCGAGTGAGGTGCAGCTTATTATTAGCCAGTCAAAAGAGTGACGGCATGATCTTATTCTTCGATGCTCACAACGGGCTGTAGGGCGCATCCAATGCCAGTAGGAATAATTGAAAAATTTGATTGTTTGTCGTTTTCTTTTAACTTTGGGTAAAATTGAAGCGTAAAATAAGGGAAGAAAGTAAGCGAGATTGAAAAATAACATGCACGTACGCTAAATTCGAAAATGAATTGGAGTCGGGCTTGAATACTTACCAAGGTTCTCCACAGATTGATTCAATTCGCGCAAGTTACGTGTATACCGGGAAACTCTATTGGTGGCCACTGCCGTCTTAACACTGAGACTGTCTCCGCCGGGCGATTGGGTAGATGTGGGCGGCTTGTGTCGTCTGATGGTCGGAAGACGGGCCACAAACGATGCATTGTGCTTAAAACTAGATGATGCTCGCCTGTGAATTTGGTGTGTGGACATAAATAAATGGCGGTTAGAAAATGTCTGTAATTAGTATGAGAATGTTTACAGTATAAAACAGGCAACTAAGACTATGGTAGGTGTTTCCCCGAGCTTTTTGTTGACATTGGTTGGAAATATCGTCAATGTATCGGTGATAGTGTACTCTTAACCGACAAGTTGTAAAGTGGCATGTCTCTAGCGATACTTATATAGTATTCATCTGGATTGCAATGGATGTTATGTTGAAACAAACGTGAATCTGTGTACCATTGGGCACAAAATCAGTGAACAAGTACTGTAATTGGGCGAAATTAACTGGGTCAAATGGGGCAACTTCACCGTTCCGTGGACATGTTGCATGATAGTCACCCAATTAAAACATCACCAGCAGTTAAAATTTTGATCAACTTTCGATTTTTTAGGGTGTTTTTTATTTCTGTTTTAAAACACTTAGATTGACGGTTCTAAAGAGATTTAATGTGAATATAGAAAATTGTGCACCCTATTTTTCTAATTTTCTAAAATTTCTAAAATGACGTTAGGGGTTATTATTATATTGTAGGTGTACTGTATACATAGTTGCCAATTTAGATAGATTTGTTCATTGCGATTTTTTTGTTGTGATTTTCTTTTGCAACTTTGCACATATATAATTGAAGATTTAAAAGAGAAGAAAAATAATTTACAAAAAGTTTTGTTATTGTTTTGTTGGTATTTTTTGTAATTAAAGAAAAGTCCTTATTTTTTATGGCGGGCATGATAACTCCTCACTGGAACATCGGAATCCGGAAATTCCAACGGTGTTAGAAAGAGTACATGTCTGACTCTCGTATGAACTAGGATTATTGACTTCGCTCTAAAATTAACAAAATGGTGGACCTTTGAAAAAATATTTGTGGAAAATCGCCGAGAAACGTGTAAAAATTTGAAATCGATTGGGTTATTAGTTTTTGAGTTATCGTGCCCGCCATTCACAAAAAAATGTTTAGAGAAAAACGCGTTTTAAGTTTGAGAAGCCCTTCAGCCGTCACTTGATGGTGACACAATAAATCGGCTATATCTTCAAGAGTTCTTGAGGTTTTCACTTGAAATTTTGTAGGGACATTCATTAATTAGTGTAGATTCGAATTATATCAACAAAATTTTTGACCCCGAGAATGGGGGGGGGGGGGGTCCCCTTAAATGACAACAAATAATCTTTAAGTGCAACAGAAATTCAATATTTCTCAACTCTGCAACGAAGTTGTTATTTTAATATTATTTCATATATACAGCATTAGAGTTAAAAATCGCACTTCATTTTAAATGCGTACCCACTTCCAATTCTATGTTGTTAATACAGTATATCTAAGGGGTTTAAAATAAAAAAATACTCCAAACGAATCGGGGATGATGAGAAACTTTTGACTGCATTAGTTGTAATGTTTTAATTACACTGTGCGGAACTAAAATCTTGAACCAATAGGGACCACAAAAATCTGAAAGCTAATGATGGTAGATGAAACCCCGTAGATGGATTTTGAATTATTAGCTGAGGTTTTTGTTTAGGCTCACAAAATCAATTGTTCATAGAAAAAATTGTGCATGGAAAATGGTATGCTTTTTAAATACCATACCAATTGGTTCATTTTTGAGACTTTGATTTTGAGTGACTAAACATGGTTTTAAGAAGAGTTCTTTGTTTTTTCTTTGACTATGTTGTTGGTCGAATTAATAATTCAAGTTCTATACCCAGTCATGAAAAAGACTTCGAAAATGTATGTTTTTGTTTACGTTTGTGTCATTTTGAGAACGAATTTTTTTTTAAGTTTACCTCAAAGCAAAATTTGTAGATATTAAACATTGCTGAAGAGTGAAAATCTACATTATCAGAAGCTGTCAGATTTTGGAGGTCCCGATTGGTTCAATATTTTCAAGTTGAAAAATGTGTCACAGTCTTATTTGATGTCACTACCACTGTATGTATATAGCAATGTTCCGAATCTACTCATAACTGGAAAATATTATACAATGTGAACATCTGGAACATTACACCGGCTAGTGGAGAAATCTATGTAATTTTATTCTTTCTGCCGTCCATTCTCAATATGAATGGTATATGCACTTAGAATCAATTCTGCAATCCTTTCCACGCTTGACCATATTCAATATATTCATTATGTTATGACAATTGACATTGACGCCGGCAAACGTTAACGTGCAGTAGTCAACGAACGACCATTTGACGATCTCGACTACTAGTATCTTTTTATATTTATTGTGGGTGCAATATAAGATTTAAAAAGAGTGTATTTGTGATGGTTTATAAAAATTCGACGGTGAGTGCATTTGGTGTGATTTACTTTGCATTTCTGCTGGCAGCACAAGAAAGCCGAAATAGAAGAGGTGAGATGGAAATTTAAATAATTGGAAGAATTTTACTGTTTTGTGGCGTTCGAATGCATTTGAAATATCCTCGACAGTATGACGTTTAGCAGGATGTCGCATTGCTTGGACAGAAGCAGGCGTATTTATTTTGAAAGAATATGTACGAGTATATAAGTAATTGGAATGTATACGAGAATGTGAAGGCGATATTTATAAAGGAAAAGGTACTGGCGGCGAATCGTGTGGCTGTGAGTTTTAAATGCAATCGTTGCAGTTAGTTTACCTAGATTCAATTAAACTCTTAAACAGTCTATCCCAATACTCAGAACTGAAAAAATCGAGAAACCAAAAGACATAAGAATTAATTAATTTTCGTAGTTGCAAATCAAAAGAGAGGGGGGGAGAGAGAGAGCTGAATGCGACTGATTGGTTTTTGACAATCGATGACACAGAACCCATGGCTTAATGAAAACGCTCACTCACTCACACACAGACTTGATCAGACCAGACACAGAACGCAATATCATTAGCTGTGATAACACAAGAGGAAACGAGGAAGAAATGATGAGGTGGAAACGATTCGGGACAGCAACTCATGTTACAAGTGGCAAATTGGTGTGGAATTTGGAATATCCGATAACTTGATCTGGCACATCTGGAATCTGCCGAGTATTTCCCGCTTGAGTACAGGGCTGGAAGTCGGTGTTTAAGATTAATTAGTTTTACTTTCAAATTAAATACTCTGGCGAGAATATTTGCCGGCAATAATTTCGGATGAGACACTACAGCAGGCGAGGCAGAAGGTATCCCATCCGCAGCTGAAATACTCAGGCGGGAGTATCTAATGCTCTCTTCGCAATGTTTGCAAACGGAACAGAGAGCGTTCGCCGAACACAACGAAAATAAGAAGGTGGTCCAATAAGTATTGAAGTTACAAAAAAGTTAAAAAAGCTTTAGCGTGGGAAAAAATTGAAAGAAGAGTCCCTAACATACCTGGTGCTATCACAAGCATTTCGCCCAATGATTGATTGAACGCTTCATTTGATTGATTGGATCAATTGCTCTGTAAGTTGATCCATGAGTGGATCGATCAAGTGATCGATTGTACGAACGACTGATTAATAATGACAACTACATTGTATGTCCCGTTGTTTGTTCGCATGGATCGGGTGTAGTGGCTGTTTGTGTGCGCGCCGAGGGGCGATATAATACTTACGAGGCTGGTGGACTGGGCAACGCCACCTGGTGTATCTTCCAAGTGGCCACAGATGATGAGTGTTCATCGGCAGCGTAGCAGCGCCACAATGCCTGTATCAATGAGGCAGCCGGTTGGCGCCGTCGTATCATGTGCTTCTGTCTTTGTTGTTGTTGGACTTTTAACGCAAATCCACTACCCAGTATACCCTGAAATCGATAGTAAAAACACAGTATTTGCTTCCTTACTAAGATAAAGACGATCCTGTATCCTTACCGCTGGCAAAGCGAAAAATGATATGCCTAGTAGAGCGCAAAATGATGCTATAAGCTTGCCCTGCCACGTTTCTGGAACCATGTCACCATAACCCACAGTGCACAAGGTGATCTAGGGCAAGATGAAATCATGAAGACACGCAAAACGATTAGAAATAGAATTCACTTACCACACCCCACCACAGGGCTTGTGCAAAATTATTGAACTTGTCGTTGACATCTTTCTCCATCAAATACACCAGAAACGATGCAAAAATAAGGCCTAGGAATCCGATGTACATTGTGGTTATAAGTTCCTAGGGGACGATATTCAAGTTTGTTATTCGAACCATTCACCGGGCCGATGTCGCTGAGATGGCGGACTATACTTACTTGTCTGTGTGCGTATACTACACTGCCCAGTAGTTTCCAAGTGCCACCACGTCGGTCCATGCGCACCATTCGCAAGATTTGGAAAAAGCGTAATCCTCTTAGGGCACTTGTGGCAAATACTTGGCCCGATGTGCCCATGCCTAATACAACTACGGAAGCAACTATAGTAATAATATCTGTAAGAAGAGACGAAGTCCATTAGCTGTCCCCATAGCAAGTACGGCTGCTGCTGATGCCCACTTACCTATAATACAAAATGGTCGTTTTACAAATTTTAGACGACCCACACATCCTTGGTATCGCGAACGACAACCGGATGACCACAGCCTGTAAAATGCCCAAGATATTTTATTTCGTTTTAATGTAAAAAGTCAACCGAGGAGGAGTGCAAAGTGGGAGAAGCTATGACAATGAGTACTTCGATTTGCTACAGGCCCGTACCTTTATAGGATTTGTTGAACTTCCGTATTACCCAAATACGCAAGGACCTTATCTACTTGTGTGCCAATTAAAAACGTCGAAAATGGATGAAAACATTTTCCTAATTACCAGAAAAATGTTTACCTTTATAGAAAATCTACTTTTTCAATGACTTGAATTCTATTTTTCAACTTTATATTTTTATACGCAATGCGTATTTGGGTATTTAAATTTTGAGCTGAATAAAATCGCACGAATATGCAGGAATTTGGGTACGACCCACAAATAATCTGATAAAATGTAATTTCTTGTATTCCATGGTAGGGGCATCCAAGCACAAATTCTATAGGTTCTGAAAAGTTAACAGTCCAACTGATCTGCTGATGTGCTAATTACTATTAATGTGTAAACGCAGGTCGTCGCTATCTAGCACTCAGTTACCCACATTACGGTATTCAAAACTGCAAGCCGTAACATAGCAGTAGCCGTAGATCGACCGTGTGTGATCATTGATTGCTGGGGGGGAATATGAAACCCGTGCACAATACGTGCCTTCAATTACAATGCGTCGAATTAAATGGAAATAACATTAACATAAGGCCATAATAAAAACTGGATGTGTTTATTTTTCACAGTTGCGTGAGTTTCGAAAAACTTAATTGTGGTGTTATTAATGATCAATAAATAGTTGCTTGGCGTACTTAAAGCTAAACCGTGTACCTATGTTGCAGAATCAATTGTGGTTTCACATTGCTAATACAAATGTTGTATATCGTTAGCTAAAATGCAAAAAGGCGTAACTAACAAAAACATAATTGTGTAGGAGAAGCAAAAAACTGTTTTGAATGAAAACTATAAACATGTCATGTGAAATGAAAAAGTATGTCCGACAGGGTGATATTGCATATGATGAATAATAGACGATAATTTTTTTAACAAATTTAGTTATTTAGTTTAATGGCAGTCATAACAATTAAGTAAAAACGTGAATTTGTTGTTAGTTACGCCTTTTTGCATTTATCAAATAAACCCACTTGTAGTTACGTCTTTTTATTTTTTGTTAATAGAAGGTCCTTTTTTGACCGCAGACGTGTAAAACTTTGTCAACACATGTAGTTTATTGACATTCACAATATTCATTCAAAAAGTCAATTTTCAATTTTTTGTTAGTTACGCCTTTTTGCATTTTAGCCGACGATATGCGGATATGGAATTACGTACGAATTGGACGACTGACATATATAGTGATAATAATTCATGCAATGGACCAGTCTCAGCGAGAGGCATATACAAATCAAGTATTGTCTAAAAATTGAATAACATTTCGATAAGTTTGTTACAATGTGCTGGTCCGAAAGCGGCCTATATCACCAACTAATTATGGCCTTCAAAATGAAACAATTGATATATTTGTAACAGATATGAATGATACTCAATGTTCAAAATTGAACCATAGAACAATGGATTCCACACATACACCAGAAAACAGAAAAGCAACAACGACAACACGAAATTGTCATAACTGTTTTATGATCCGATAAAGAGTCTCAATTATTATATAGAGAGTGTCGACGAAAATTGTGCGTCAAGATAAAATTGTTGACACGAATCGTTTAAAACCCCAACATTTTATGACTTTCGCCATTAGATTGGGTGTGTGCCATATTCTGTCGTTTCGTTTGTGACGCCTCTAAAAAATGATTCCATTTCTACTAATTACGCCTGGCTTGGAAACAGGTTTCAAATAAATATAAATATTATTTGAACAGCATGGGAGATGAAGCTCTTGCCGATTCTATGATTCTAACCGCCCCGACAAATGCTATACCAAAAATTTTGGCATACCGTTATCAACCGATCACTGTACTGCAAGCTTAGGAAACGTTTAGTGATTGATACGTTGGTCTCTCTCCGTTTTGGATAACATCGAAAACTTCATTCCACAAATATTTAATTAATTCGTAATTATTTTTCCGAACGAATTTGTCTTCTTAATTGCGGATAAACAGACACTTAGTGCTGATCGACATTTCTCAAGAATTGCCGTTAATGGCACAGAAGTGATAAACAAACATTTCTGATGTGGGATATATTCTGACACATCTCAGCGTATGTGTTTCTATGTTTGTTTTTGCTTGAAAGTTCGATTTTTATTGCGTCTACACTTGTTTGTCAACCGCACCCCGGTTGGTGGGCCGATATCAGAACAGACGATCCCATTCTTTCAAATCAATGTTGGACGTTTACTTATGATTAGACATTTAATAGTCAATTATTGTGGCTACACCCTAAATCCATTTCTATCTCCCCAGAACTCAATTTACGCAGACCGTCGAAATGGAGTTCTGACAAATGTAAAGGGATTGTTGCTTCTAGGACGAGACGAACGGACAGACGGACGGCAGTATTCATTTGTCTATACTGCAATCACTTGCGTGCATATGCGTAATTGTGTATGTTCAGTTGCTAACTTACCGTAAGAAAAATTCCATTGTGAACCAAATAACAACTAAAATTTCCATCCTAAATAATATGTACAAAGCATCCTCCTCGTATTCCTTTATAGTCGAGAATACGCTCAACGCCAGACAGGTGAAGACCATCAGGAATCTGAAAAGAACACATTTGAACATTACCGAATCAACAGTCAGGGAATGCATTGACGCTGGTTACTTACACCATCACGTGATAGAGCACCGCCGGTAGACCCCTGGGTCTTTCCAGGAAATTATAAACACGACTTTGGAGTCGTCTGTACCGGACATCACGGCGGTTGCCGCGATTGTAGTTTATAGGCTTCCCCAGTAGCGACATTCGCGGTTGAGCTAAACGATCTGGTGGTGGAGGCGAAATGAGCTTACATGACCTGTAACGAAATGAAAACCACACTCAGGACATTATTGTTAATTGAGAGCCGGTGTTGTGGCGTTGCTGCCGTTTGGTTTTTGATGTATAATCACTTGTCCTTGCCTTAACCTAAATGTCTTTTGATAGAAAATAATGGGATCATTGTCAGGATCCATGTTGGAGGCATTCGACGATGGCACGATCAAACAATTCGACCTAAGATCAGCTGTTAATTCATACAAAACCTCTCCTCCAATTATTCTAGCGAAAACGTCTTGCACATTTGAACCACAAATCAACACTCGTCGCAGTCGTTGACATTAAGGCGATTATAAAAATGAAAACTTTTGATTTCCGTCGCTGTTTCAGTCAGCGTCGTTATCGTTGGCTTCGCTGTAGTCGTAGTAGTCGTCGTCTTAGTCGTCTTCGCGCACAAATTTGCCCACTTTAAGGTGACAACCCAAGTCTATCAGTGCGTTGCGACCCAACCCGGCCGATAGCCCATCCGCCTTCCCACATACATACATACAAACGCACATATTTCTATAATGACGTACTTTTATGACAGAAGGCGCCCGTAAAAGCGGTCGACATCTTCTCGAAAACAAACATCGCCATTGTTTAGCTTTCCTATGAACTGAACAACCACTTGGTCGGCAGCGTTTGTTAAGATCAGCGTCAACGTCAAAGGTACTAATTACACACAAATAAGAGCCATTAACGAACGATCTCATGCAAGTGCATGCACAGTTAGTTAAGTTCAATTATTTAACGGCAGATCGTTATTGCAAAAGCCCAAACCCATTTTGGCAAGATTTTTCAGATACGCTTTTGCCACAACTCGGCCTGGGCATACCAATCGGTCCTACAGATAAGGATAAGTGCCGGGAAACGTTTAATTTCTCCGCGGCTGATCAGACCGTTGGTTAGCCAGTTGACTGAAATAAATAAACCGACGAAACGAACGATTGGAGTCAAGAGTAATCAGTCATTTGGCAATTTTATCACGATTACCATCGTACATACGTATGATGGTATGTATGTATGTCGCCCGTTTATTGCCATTGTCAACCGACACATAGTGACAATGAATGATAATGTTCGACAGCCATGCTATAGTCGGTCGTCTTACATACCGTACGACGTGCCATGGCTGTGCCGGCGATGTGCTGTGGTTTCACAGGCTTGTCAAATTTTTTAAAAAATTGTTGTACGAAAAGGCTGTGCTCATAGAAATTGTGATCTCAGAACGAATGTTCTGTGGGTAGTATTAACATAACACCCTAATAAACACAATTCATCGTGCGTGTGGTTGACAGACAATGATCGTACCAATTTGTATGTATGTGTGCTTTGGCATAATGAGCAATGACAACTACCTAGCATTTGCTGTTGTCCATAGGTTGTACTTTGATAACGAAAGTGAATTATGATGACGGATATTCGGAATGATTGACCAAAGACCAAAAAAGTGTCCAACAGAAACAACAATATTGGATATATTGGATTCTTGATGCAAACAAATTATGTGGATGGCTCGATGGTTCGAGGTACTTAAATCTATTCGACATGACTCGATTCGATTGGTTTCATTTGCTGTTGAATGAAGTGAAAGCGACGTAGTCGTGTTCTAACTTGTTGAGAGTCACTTTTAAATGCAAACTCTTTTGCCAGGTAACATTGATAAGAAGGTATATGGACGATATATCATTGGAATGCCAATTGAATGATTACCATTTTTTATGGACTCCCACATAGGGACTTTGGTATTGAGCTTTAGAAATATGTTGGGGGTTGAGTGCGACTGAATTTTCATAAATAATTGTCGATTCGCATCGGGATGTGGTCGAATATATTAATATACCTGCCCAATTGAGGTTGTAACATTCAAGGTCGACACCTATATTTTTCGAACCAATGATTTCCGATTTACCTGTGTTTACATCGGGAGTAGTGACACTACGAATTCTTAACACAGGCAACTTCGTTGGGTTGCAAGGAATATTTGCAGGACTGTAGGATTTATATCAAAATTTTTCCGGAATATCGTCATGTGTGCAGTGGTTTAGTATTGTCATTACAACACAGATTTCGCAAAAATAAAAGACAATTGTCCTGACATTTTGATCAGATCCGGGATATAGTAACGGAGTTCGGTTAAACAAATGAAGAAATATCAATTTTACGACTTACGTGTCCTTCGGTTTAAGGTTTACTTCCAGTTCAGTAGCCATGAGTTATCGCAAGTTGAAGCTTTAATTTGCAAGACAAAACACAGTGGTGATTAATAAACAGCGGTTTAAAGTTTTGCTAAAATTAACTACGCTGTGTAAAAGCTAGCCGCCAATGAACGTGACAATGGAATTGGTCATTTTTTACTTTCGAACCGAACACGGAAACTATTGATCTACGTATGATTGAGTTCATCACAATCGTACAAATGTATTGTTCCAATGTGTGATAATCGTTAATCAGTGAATATAATTCACAAAAAAAAAAAAAAAAAAAAAAAAAAAAAAAACAAACAAATGAGACTATGAAGTGATCGTCAAATGCATAGAAATAGAATTACGCAGACAGTAAGTCTCACTTCGTAAATATTATCGACAATCTGATGTGTGGCACACACACAGTGATTTGCACACATGGGTATTGGGTATTGATATTGGAAAAGAGAACCACATTAAACCCCTGTGGCGTTCGGCTTAATTTAATTTGTTGCCTTAATTTTAATAATAATAATAAATACAAGTACACACAATCAAACATACGAGAAAGACTGACGTCAAGTTTCATTGTGTTTAGAAAGAATGCAAGAAACTAAGGAAAGAAACTAATCGGCTTTGATGATGTGGATGCATTTGATCACAGTTATGCGCAATTACGGGCATAAGTACGGATTTCTTGTGCTTTAGCGGATTTTAATAATTTTCTGCGCCCGGTTTTGTGAGTGTTGGTGTCAGAATTTATTAGCCAAATCCAAATAAATATTTGTTATGGTTGATACACTGTATATTTTGGACTGTGCGTAGAAGTGTGAATGAAATAACCTACTTGTTGGCGCGACTGCACCGAAAAAGACGTACATAAGCTTGAACCGATTTAGGAACATGCGTATAAGATGAACAACTTATTTGAGTTGCTGCACTACAATGTCAAGTACTGGAAGATTTTCCTATTATCAGGATGGAATATATGTCGAAAGTGAGCATAAATCAATCAATCAAAAAGAACATGCATTTTAAATGTTAATTCTACATAAAGAATCAGTTTCAGGAATACATAATTTTTTAAAGTTTTCCAAATAATAATAATGGAACCCACCGATTGGTTGGGGTCGGTATTAATCGATCCTCTCACTTTGTTCGAATTTCGCTGCAGCCATTGAGAAACGCATAGCATATCGTGTCTGCCTATTGAAAGTCTTTGTTAGCCTTCCTCACTTAGCATTAGGTTTTCATTAAAGCTGTGCTGATACTTGCCAACCCCCTTCGCATATTCAGAACTATGTAGTTGTTGTTGTTTTTTCGAATGGAAAAATAAACAATTTTGGTTCAATTCATATTTTGTTGTTGTTTTGTTTTTTTCTTTATTTACACATCATCAATTAATTATTTGTTATTATTCTTATTATTAATGGTGTTGCTGTTGTTGTTAAAGTTTTAATAGTTAGCTTGGTTCGTTGAATACGTTTTGCTATTTACACAAGTGAACAAAAAGTGTGTGTGAGTGTGTGTGTATGGTGACAATATAGTGGGTATATATGTTTGTCAATAATACATTCATATCTAAATATAGGGATTATAGCTGCAGTACCAGTAGACTGAATTTCTTTGAATATCTGGCAAGGGCCAACATGCTGCTGTGCTGCCGACTGCTGCCTCGATGTGGATGGTGATGCGACCTTTCACACCAGCAAGGACTTTTCATTTCTTTTCATCGACAATGATTTCGTCACCGGCCTGTATGTTATAGCTATATAGCAGCTTGTTGGGATAGCGCATTTCCTCGGGCCCGAATTCCCTGTAGTCTTGGTCCAAGTAGTAGAGACGCATTTTATTGGCGGACAAAGGGATGATTTTCTCGAGCTTTACTTTGAGGTCGGCAACGGTGCGGTATAAGTCGACATGACGTGATTCGGATTTATCGCCATATGTGAGGATAATTTTGACACGTTTATCGGGCTTGAGGCTGATATTGACCAAGGGGTCCAGCTTGCCGTGTTTTGCAACTAGGTCGAGGTAACGTTTGGGCCGTTCACTTTCTGGTTTGTCCATGTAGTAGCGGATGAATGCCCTTTCGGCATCCTCGCGTTCGTCGGGTGTTATGACACCACCTCCATTTAAAATGGCCACATTCGGCAGACGTGCTATGAGCAATTGTCGCCTTTCATGCTCGGTACATTCCAGCCGATCCCAGAGCGGCCAGTTTTTCACTCGAAGATTTTTCAGCTTGGGAAATGTGGCCAAACGATCTATGTCGTCCCAGGTGTTTATAGAGGCATAGCTGAGATTGAGGAACAGAAGGTTGGGGAAGTGCTTCTGGGGCAAATCGTCGTCGTCAGTGGCATCGGTTATTGTGGAGTTATCCAGCTTTTCGGGGAACTCAATGGCCCGTATGGGACAATCGGCCAGCACCAAATTTTCCATACACGGAAAAATTCTACCCAGTCGACAAATTTCGGGCCACTGCTCAACAGGGTTGCCGGTAAAATGCAGGGTTCTCAATGCTTTATGGGGAGAGATTTTCTTGTATTTCTTGGCGTGGGAAGACTCCTTGGAATCACAGCACTTGCAATTATCACTATTTTCAAGGTCGGCGGTGGCAAGTTCGGCAGTATCGATGAGCACCTCTTTGTAGTCATTCAAACTTAAATGCAACTCCTCCAATACTGGCAGATTCTCGAGCAGGACGTCAATACTCTCCCAGTTCAAGTAGGTGCCATTCAAGACGATGCCTCTCAGATTGGTTATGGGTGGAGCGGATAACTTAGTCAGTGGGTTACTGAGGTTGTTCTTGCTCAGGTTTAGGAATTCTATGCGCGGCATGTGCTCCACAATCTGGAATACTTCGTGCCAGTCCTGTAGTTTGTTCTGTGCCAAATCGAGTTCGCGCACGCGGCGACATTTGTCTTTGATGCTTTCGAAATCGCCCGCACAGTCAATGTCGCAGTCGTTCAGCACCAAAAGTTCAGGCACACACTGCAGAGGCGGTAGCCTAGGAATGAATATGGAAACCAATCGATTAGTACCGGGTCCAGCTGCTGCATCCGCATCTTTGTCTTTTGCTTCCTCCTCCTCCCGATTGTCGTCGCAATCGGAGAAGTATTTTCGTTCAATCGCTTCCAATAGCGAAGGCATTTCGTTGGCGTCACCGAAGCTGCGATTAATAGCTGTCTTTGATAGGAATAGTTGCTGATTCAAGTCAATTGTTTAACTGTTGGCATTTGACTCTATGGAAGATGTGGCGAAAAATCGATGCAGTTCATAGCCTGTCTCTCCGTCTCTCCGGCCCGTGTTCTTCTCAGTATTATCTTTTGTTTTGCTTTCTACTTCGCTCGCTGTTTTCTGTTTTCTGTTGTCGTTGTTGTTGCTGTTGATGATTTTTGGAGCTTTGTTTACATATAGATAGACAAGATATGAATCGGCCAATCAACCAACAACATCCAAAGGCATATCTCACCGATGCTTTTCAACAAATGTATATTTCCTTTGAAAGGCTGCAACAGCCCCCGAAGTACTGCAAGAGACGCACGAAATAGAAGTGGTTTGTGGTGGTCGGATTGCTTTGATGTGGGTCGTTGTCGTTCGTTGGCCAACGGAACGAGGAGTTTTCCTGAGCAATGGGAAATGGTTTGAGACCTCTTTGTTAAGACGGGCAACGGAGACCGTTAACACCAATACATCAGCTGTCGCACTTAGAATGCATACAACCCTGTGGTGCGACCTTCCAACGGTGGCCGCTGGAGTAGATTTGCTAATAACAAGTTGTCACCTTTGAGCTTGCACGTCTCCCATGCGCTGGCAATTCACCAGTCTGTTCCAAGCAGACTGCGAGTATTACTTTTCGTATTGTGTTCGGCCAGTGGAAGGAAAGACGGACGGACGCTGTGTAGCAGCTGGGTGATGTAATTGCACTCTGGCTAGTTGCGAATTTTGCTTATTTCGTATTTAAGTGGCAATGTTATTTGTTTTCGTACTGAACCATTCCATGGATCTGCTATTTAGGTTGAGATACTTTGGGGCTTCTGCATTTACTTTTAATTGCGCACTAAATGCTTTGGGTATCGACCGAGTACTCGCGCCGCGGAATTGTAATTTTTCAATTGCTGTGCCTCTGAATATTGGAAACAGTTGTTTTCAGCTAAACAAAGAAACGACGTCGAAAAAACGTTTTGTGTGGTGGTCGTGTCTAAAAACAATGACTGCCTCTACGAGCGTACGTTGAAAAGCAAAACGTTTGCTACGTTTATTTCGTTGTTAGAGTTCGTTTCGCTCTGCACTACTCTTGTCTGGTCGGATCTGCTCTACTCTTGCACACCGCGATGGGGCTGCGAGTGAGTATTTCGTTTGGCTGATTTGCTGTTATTATTAGGAGACGCTGTGTTGGTGGAGGCGGACGAATCGACGTGATTCTAATAACTATGCTCTTTTGGCCATTGTTGGCTGGATTTTCTGTAAATGCGCACTCTCTGCTCAGTCGTAATGAACTGAAAAATATTGGTGAGAACCGACATAGCGCTTTTCGGGAAAAGAGTGCCAATGTATGGTTGTATGTGTGCATTTTTTGTGTAGGTCGTGTGTCGGTTGCCTGGTAAGTTTGCCAAAAGGGCCGCAATGTACGGGCCACTTGGAAATCGTCGGGGCCTCTTCGGTTCAAGTCACGTAAATATTATGTGTAGTTCCTTTATTTGGATATACAGTCGAATCCGCTCAATTGAAAACCCCGGCAAATTAAAAAAAAGTTTGAACCTAATAATTCTTTCACACATTTTCAAAACATATACATATATACATATATATATGTATATGGGCAATATTGCCAATTTGTTCACATAGCTGAAGCGGGGGTTCACCCCTTTATAACTCGGGAATTACTTAAGTATATGAAAAGAAGTAAATAGTTTTGGTTTAATTGATCTGTCTTTGGCACATCCATGGTTCTTAATGGACCACATTGAAATCGGTATAGATCGATGTATTTTTTTAAGGTGCACACCGAAATCGGATGCGCGTTAATGGCATATGGAATTTTCGGAAATTATTCGCGTTTTACGATTTTTTGGGTACTTCAATGCAACGTGTGGCACATCTTAGCCCTCAAATGAAATTTCGCAAAATATATATGGATTGGAAGATAAACTTCAGTACTTCCTGGAAACTGCATCCGCATGAAATGATTTTGAGAATTACGCAATATAGACGCAATTTAAAATGTATATTTCATAATATTATTTTATTTTAAGTTTTATTCCTATTTATAGATTCCTATTTATATGATTCATCATGGTGTTTAGATTATGTAGATATTTTTAAATTAATTTTTAGGTGTGTGTATGTCATTAATATAATGAAAATATTGATGTAATCTGCTATATAATTTTAATTTTTCTCATATTTTGCGAATATGTGCAACTTTATCGCGATTATTATAACATATTCATATTCTTATTTTACGGAGGAAGATCTATATCAATGTTTTTGGTCAATATAATAAACGGCGTAATTTTAAGATTTTTTTTATACCCAAAATTAAAACCTCGATAACTTTTGCGCGCATCAAGCAAAAATTTGATTGCGAACGGTTTCGGAGTCAGAACATTTTTCTCTATATGTGTACCAAAAATCATTGATGTGCCACAAAATGTATGTATGGTTGAGCATGTATCATGCATTATTGATAAGATTTGCAACTGCATTTTATTTGCTATTGTTTTTAATTTGAAAAATATTTGAAATAGTCATAGAATAACTATTGTGGATATATTTTTCATAAAAATATTTAATACTTGTATTTCTATAGTCAGCTCCCTTTTAATCTATTCGAGGATTATTGATGCCCATAAGGCTGAAGCTTCTTCGCTTTTTCTTTGAAGAGCCTGACATTACAGCTGGCATGTCTTTTGGAAGGTTGCCAGCGTTAGTATACAATTGGCATATTTGCTAAGCCGAGCTGAATCCACTCAATATCCGGATTTCCTTGAAATCCGATACTAAATCGAGATATTTTCAAATACTTTAGAATGTTTTGAAATTGCTAGAGTTAGAAATATTTAAACTAAAATCTCTTTTAGTCACAAGAAGTGAGTAAGCATGAGCATTTTAGACCGGCTCAAAGGCCCTCATTACAACGCAAAAATTCGAACATTGTCGCTGTTTTTTACTTGTCAATCGTCAGAATGTGGACATCATGTTCTCCCTCTCTCTCAATGTAGATCGCTGTAGCCATGTGCCACAGAGTGTTTTGGGACACCATCGGATCAGATACTAGTTGACAGCGACCTTGCAGCCAAAAATAGTTGAATGTTCTAAGTGTTTGCTGTGGCATTTAGCCATCGCAGCCATTGTTCGGCGGCCATCAGCCAGCCAGACCCCAAAGCACTTTTGTTTTCGTTCAATGAGGTTAGTGTTACATGAGTTCGTCGGCTGTGACCTTTGCTAAGAATACGCAGGCAGATATGTTCTTGGTGGTGTGGCGCGTTTATTTAGCTTTCGTGTTATCTGCAACTTAATAATTGTATTCAAAATATTATATCGGAGGTGTGTTGATTCTGAATGAAGGTCGTCTTATTGAGGATAGATTATCTTGACCAAAAATGTATAACTTTTACAATTCGTGTCTTCAGTGTGTTAAGGCCAAAGAACGGCCTCAAAGTTGCCGGCCTTTGTTGGTGCGTATTTCTTCTAACGCTCTGTATTTTTGAATCACGTTTTGTCCATTATCATCCGGAATGTGTGTATGTGGGGTGGAGGGTGCGGGAAACTTGCTCATAACTGGTTTACGCGGCGACACAAAGAAACAAATCGCAAAGACAAAGCAAGACAAAACACACAAAGAAAATGCTGTCACTCACATACACACCGAACACGTATTCGCAACCATGCAATTGCACTTCAATCAGTTGTGTTGGGACCAGCGTGACCGCTGATAATTTTCAAAAAGTATCATGTTTTAAAAAAAGTAGCACATAACTTCTGAAAAAGTGTCACAAAAAGTGACACACTTTTTTTACTTTTTATTTAATAAAAAACTATATAAAACATTACAAATAATTCATTTATGTGTGTTTTTGTATATACAGTAAACTGAAAAAAAAAACTAAATAAAATCACATATTCTTACAATATATATGCGGTATATACTATTAGTCTGTTCCCGTACTGCAAGAATCTACTAGATTTTACTATTTTTTTCGATATCATAAAGGAAAATTCGTTATCGTAGTAAAAAGTAGTAGATTCTTGCAGTAAGGGAACAGACCATATATTGTTATTGAATAACATTTATTTTTTAATTACTTACAGTCTGTTTTTGTAAAATTCCAAACGAACGAATTCGAGTGACTTACGACCAAACCTTTATTTATGTTTATAAAGGTTTTCTGATTCAAAACAAAAATAAATGACAAGGAGTTTGGTCGTAATGCCAAGTACAGACGAGCGTTGTTCGCTCTCTCATTCGTCGTTCGACCATTAATTATGAAGTAATTCCTTAGTTCCCCATACAAATTTTTCTGAGCGAACACCGAACTTTGTACGTAGTTCAATTCGAATCACTCTCCAAACAACAAAGAAATTCATCCCATCCCTAACAATTGAGAGCATTTATCGAAAATAAATTAATTTTGACAGCTAGAAAATATTTATAAAATTTTCAAACTTTTTCAGTAATATTGAAAATGATGAATGAAAACTAACAAATTGTCTAGTTTTTATATATGCAGCAGGATGTAAATTTTGTTATCTTCGTAATGCAATATGCATTTTTTCCCCTTTGATTCTAATTAGCGTGCAAAACAAGAAACAAATGTGGGGAAACCAAAACAAAAATTTTCCAATTTTTTACTTACATATACATATGTATGTATGTGACATATGTATATGTAAGTAAGATCATGGCATAAGTCACTCGAATTCGTTCGTTTAGAATTTTATAAAAACAGACTGTTATTCACAAATAGAAATCGAAAATTCAACAAACCGAAATGCGAATGCGACCTAATAATAAAAATAAAAATCGCTCCGTCTGTTACAAACTGAACCCTAGTTAAAAATTGTTCCGTCTGTTAAAAACGCAACCTTTTTAAAAATCGCTCCGTCTGATACAATATTACAAAACAAATCATTATGTTTTATGAAAA